TGGATCAGTGGGGAGGAGACAAGAGTGAGTGATTCAGAATACACCTGTGAGTTGTTCCGGGATGCACGCCGTCGAAGGGCTACTCAGCGGCAAGAACAATGGTGTAATTACAAGAGGTGATTACGCTCAGCTGATGCTCATTAAGATCATCTCCTGATTATAAAAGAGGCTGCTGTGCCACGCCTTTCTGCAGAAGTCAACGTTAAGGATTAACAAGAAACAAACTCGGGAGGCCAGAGTTTGTTTGCCAGAGTTTGTTTGCATTGCTGCCAAGTTTTGTAGGACTTGCTGCCAGAGTGCTTATCTCTTTGTTATGTGGCTTGCAGCCAACGAGAGTCTGGACTGATTAAAAGAAACGTTCTCATTTACGTTGGTTTCGGCTTTCGTTCCTGGACGGAGAACGTGGGGTCAGAACAGATTGACTTCTGCCCCAGACAAACCTCGATTCAGCTACAATGGAGCAATTCTGTTCTGAGAATGCCCAGTTGGCTCAACAGCTTGCTTTGCTGACTGGTCAAGTCTCTCAGCTTCTGGGACTTGCTAACACACCCCCCCCCAAGCCAATGAGGAAGTGTCCTGTGGCTACACCAGTGTTTGATGGCAATCAAGCTATGTTTGCAGCATTCCTGGGACAATGCCAGCTGTTTATTAGCTTAAGAGGGGAGGACTTTCCAACTGACCGGACGAAGGTGGGATTTATAATTAGCTTGCTTTCAGGCACAGCTGCCCATTGGGCTACACCGTTGTTATCTCAGCCTAGCCCTCTGCTGGATGATTTCCAGGGCTTTCGTAATCATCTCCGGCTGATGTTTGAGGATCCCATTAAGGAAGAAACATCCACCAGATGATTCAGGGCACTGCAGGAGGGCAATGGCTCCTTGCAGAATTATGTCAGCGAATTCCGGCTGCTTAGTCAGGACTCCGCTTGGAATGAGCCAGCCCTTACGGATACTTTTCAGGATGGGCTGTCTGATGACTTGCAGGATGAGCTGGCGAGGGTGGACAGGCCACCGACGTTCGACGCGTTGGTCCACTTGTGTCTCCGGATAGACGCCCAGCTGCAGAGGCGGAGGCCTCGCCATGCATCCCAGGAGACCACTAGTGTGCCGGTTCCTCAGGAGACTGCAGTAGCCAGGGAGAAGCCCATGGAGTTGGGTGCCACCACACCCCAAGTGGCACGCATGGTGATGGACAGACGCCGCGCGAGGGGGTTGTGTTTTTCTTGTGGGGCTCTTGGACATTTAGCCACAGCTTGCCTTAAGAAGAGTAGGAGGGCTGCGAGGTCTGAGACCAACCCCTCAGCTCCAGAGCCACGTGTCAAGACTAGGGCGGGGCCCGATCCACAGGAAACGGTGGGTCGGGCGCAGTCCGAAACAGAGGTGGATGGGCTGCCACAGCATCTGGTTCTAGCAGCACACATCCTCTTGCTGGGTAGTCCGCAGGGAATTCCAGTCCATGCCTTGGTCGACTCTGGGGCTACCACGAACTTTATGGATGCAGCGTTGGTTACAGCGTATGACGTCCCTCTGTGTCCGGTGGACCCACCGATGCTGGTTGAGACTATTGACGGACGGTTGCTTCTGTCTGGGCCTATCAAGACTGCCACGCAACCTTTACATTTGATCCTCGGGGAGCACAAGGAGGCCATCCAATTTTACGTGACTTCGGGCCTGCATTTCCCTGTGGTCTTGGGCTTGGCTTGGCTGTGGATGCACGACCCTTGGATCTTTCTGGTCACGTTCCCATCCCTGCAATGCGTCGATCAACCACATCCAGCAGGTCTGTGCATCCCAGCTACCCAGCTCGCCCAAGGTGGATGTGCCGCCAGGTTTAGCGGACTTCGCGGATGTCTTCAGCGAACAGGAGGCGGATCAACTGCCACCGCATTGGCCTTATGACTGCCCCATCGGTATTCACAAAGTTGGACTTGCGTGGCCCCTACAACCTGGTTTGAGTCAGGGCGGGGGACGAATGGAAGATGGCTTTTGGCACCCAGTACGGACATTTTTTTTGTTTTGTTTTTAAATATAATTTTTATTAAACATTATTACCTTTAAAAAACAGGAAGAAAAATACAGCGACAAAAATACAACGACATAAGCAAGACAAATCA